CTTACACAGTGTCTCCTAAGAGTCTTGACCTTTAAAACCAGTACAGAGAATAAACTTAAAAGGATTTTGTTTTCTTAAGGCATTATTTAGTGGAAATGAACAGAACACATAGGCCCATTTTCTCCATTTGCACTGTGTAAATCAGTCACAAAATCACCCCCACCTTTTCTTTTGATTTTTGGTATCTGTATCTATACAGAAATGGTGTGAAAATGGATTTATGCTGCTGAAGGAAAGATCATGTCCAGCTGCAAAATGCTGCTCTTTCTCCTCCTGTTCTAGTCTGCATCTTATGCTTTCTTATAGCTGTGAATCACAATCTTTCACTTATAATGACAGCAATTTTTTGATGTGGAAAGTAAAAAGAATAAATCTGACATACTTTCTTAATTTTTAAGGAAATCTAAGCTGAGAAGAACCCCAAATATATAATATATATTAATAGGAAAATTAGAAAAACTTGTAAGAATAAATGTGAAGAAAATCTGAACAATAAGTGGAATTCAGAGCTCTCTTGGCAATGTTTATTTCATGAGGTTCCCTCATTAAGTGTTTCAGATTCAAAATGGAAAGGTAAACAGGTTTTCTGCCCCTAGAATACCTTTTGTGACACTGTTATCTCCTAAAACAAATTCCAATTTTAAATGATTACAATAATAAAAAAAGGGTTAAGATACTAATTAATATCTACTTAATATTTGACCATAAATTATACAAAAAAAAAAAAATTGTACAATTGGTGACTTTGTGAGGTACCTATATCAATGAATAGAAAGATCTTCCTATCTTCTTATTTGTAAACTGTACATAGAATGACTTCCTAATTTGTGTCTTTGTCAGAGAAAAGTGAAGCCAGTGGTGTTTAGCATGAGATGTATGCCAATTTCCCTAAGTCAGAGTAGCAGTACTGGAACCACAGTCTCTATTCAATGGAAAGTAAAATAACTTTGCCATGCAATATAGCATGAAACAAGCCAATCTCTATGGAAATCAAAGGGAATATTTCCATCATCTTCAATGGAAACTGGACTGGCCTTGGAATGACAAGGGGATAGATGCATTTCAGCATGTTAAAAAAAATTCCTTAATGACACTTTGCTGGCAGAATAGAGTTGGATCAGCTGTCTGAAAGACGTATTCAGTATGAGACCTTTAGCTTGGGTAGAAGTATTTATTGTTTTTTATTGCACAAAATCACTCAGAAGTGCCTTTAAACTCCACATAGATAAACAATGCTAAAATCCATATATTTTGCTAAGAGTTCAACGGACTTGTTTGAATTGGTAGAAATGTGTATTAGAAGTTTGTTTTCCTTAATACAGTTTAAAAACATCTTGTAGAATTAAACCTAGAAACAGTGCCTCATCCTACTACACATGTACACAGGGGCAGGAAATGAGTGTTCATGGCTATATGGGTGAACTGCAAGAGGGGTTTGGGACTTTCTTCTGTTTTTTTTTTTTTTTTTTTTTTTTGTCCCACAGGTCTGACTCTCCAAACTGGTTTTCAAGGGTCAGTGTCAGACTGCAAATTTCTCCAGATTTTTCTTTCCTGAAATATTTTGCTTTGAGATAAATATTTTTTCAACATTTCCGAAGGTCATGCTACCCCAGCTAGGGTAGGTTTTCTGTCCTCTGTGCAGGACTCCCATTCTCTCTTCTACCAGGTTCAGTTCTTTATACCTCCAAGGCTCCTTTATTTTTATAGAAGAGCTACATGTGCCAAGGTGTTGGCCTGAGGGTGCTGACACACCTCCTCTGGGTGTTTTGGTGCCAGCTGACTTAGTTGTTGCTCTTAGCTTATCCACATCTGCCTGTGACTGCCCTTGTGTTGAGGGCTGCCTCATCCTATCATCTGCTGGCTGAGCAGTCCCTGAACTGCAAAAGCTGACCTGACCTGATATAATTAAAATGTCTTCTCAGTAAGCCTTTGTTAATCTAATGTACTCAAACTGACAAAAAAGCTAGGGAACACTCACCATAATGAAAACAAACCAAGGCAAAACAACAGCAGCAACAAAGCAAAACAAACAAAAAAGCAAAAAACAAGCAAATAAAAAACCTACTCCAATAAAAAATGTATTTTACTTTTTCATGTAAAATTTCCCTTTCTTTTTTTTTTTTTTTGTCAGTGATTTTTTTCCACACTTTTTTTTTTTTTTTTTTTTTTTTTTTTACAAAATAGCTCTAAAGGAATGCATCTTTGTTGACTCATTTGGAGAGGTTAATTTTTGAAGGGAATAAGGAGAGCTGAACTATAGCAATAGTTAAGTACGATACCTATTGCTGCTATCATAAGACAGCTAAACAAAATAATAAACAACAAACCTCATAAAATTCTCTGAATTCAGCTTTTCCTTGGTTCCTTCCATCTTTTATCTTCACTTATCTATCGAGATTTTAGGTCTTTTGGGGGACTGATGGCTCAATTTTCTGTCTGCAAGAGTGTCTGCAGTGCCAAATGAAAGGCATTGCAAGAGAAGAAAGTTATACATACAAGTCTTTTTGATATGTAAGCACTCTATTTTGCACTGCAGTGTTCAAAAATGATCCCACTGTATGGATGAATAATTTATCACATCTGAGTTTCAGTCATTTACAAGACTTACAAGAATATCCAGATTTATAATCATCACAGTGTTCTGGAGGAATTCCAGTTTAAATAATTATATTCTACCAATATTCTCCAGTTTCCTGATTTCAGCTGACATAGTCATTTTTACTTCCTTTTACAGTACGCTGTTAAGCCTCTTTTAAGGACCGTGCAAGAAGTAACTGACCTTCAGGAGTATATAGAAGGACTCCTTTGTTTACAATGTACATCTAGCTAGTTCTTCAAGATCAAATGATATAAGCAGACCTCTGAAATATATTAATAATTTTAACCAAAGGTTCAGTCATGGTTGCAAATGGTTATCGGCCTCTGACTTTGGTAAGAGCAGGACTGGGTTTTAGTAATATTCCAGACTGAAAGAGCAGCTTGATGAGCTTCGGAGCTCCTCAGGAGGGGGCCCCTGCTTTCTTCAGGAGTCACCCAGACCAGGACTTTGTATTGATGAATGCAGAAGACTTGTGTAGACCACACTGCTGCAGAGCCGCTGAGGCTTTACAAGTGCTTTCTGGCTAAGCGACCTGGAGAATGATGTGGGAGCAATAAAGGACAATCCAGCCCTTTGATGCTTTAGATCCTCAGTACAAGTCATAAAACATATATGCATTTAATGTGTCTGTGAATGTGCACTGATGAACAAGCAATTCAGAGCTGATCTGCTTCTTGCCTTCTTTTTACATACGGCAGTGAGGAGTCTCACTCCCTTCTCCATTCTGGGATGTATTTGCCATTATATGCTTGAATGTATGTATGTAATTCTTTGGCATTGGAGTCTCTGTTTTCTTGTTCTCCTTCCCAAATGGATAAATGTTTTTTATGCTGCTTTCATTATAATAGGAATAGGAACAGTGTTTGCACTTCAGAACAAAAATTACAAGTGAAATAAACAGTGCCATTCTCATGCCAAAGTGTATGTTTAAGATTAAGATTGTATTTAATTATATTGGTGAATTGCATTCTTTTGGAGTTATGAGGTGGTGCTACAGGAACCAGTTCTATAATCTTGATTTTGTAATTCCCATTTTCCTACTCTGAGACTCTGTATACAGATAGGTATATAAAGTGCCTACAGAGGTGTTGTATGGATATGTAAGGATCACAGGAATAGACCTTACTTTATACAACCTCAAAACTGCTATAGATAAATTGGCTAATCAATGGATAAAAGGATGTGTCTACATGAGCTTGTACACCTAGACTAGAGTATGGATCCCAGGAACTCAATAGCAAAGCACCTGGAGTATGCCACCTTGAACTTCATGTTGCACTCTGAAGGCCTCTGCCCTGGCACTGAGGGTGTTTTAGGAACTGTCTTGCCCTGGCTGCTCTACCCCTTGTTGTGTATTGATTTGTCAGGAGAGGTAGAGCTTTTTGAGGGACTGGGTTTCTCCAGACAGATTTTTGCTGTATGACCTGTTAGATCAGAAGGTGGCCAGGCAGATCAGTTCCCATTACCATGCACTGATAGTGGAGATGAAATACCTCACTGCCCATGTAAGTATGTTTGATACTGTATACCCATATTATGCTGCAGTTTTCTGAAGCTTGATAACAGCATCTAGCAGTAGGGGGAGGTCTAAGCCAAGAAGCCCTGGTTAAGAGCCTGGCAAGGAAGCTAAGAAAAGCGGCCACACAATGTGAGAGAGACGTGGCCGGAAAAGTTTAAGAAAATTTCTTAAAGAAAAAAAAAATAAAGTGAGTAGATGCAAAGAGAGAGGCTGGGTAGCCAAAAAACAAAAGCAGCCAGAAAACTAAATACATGCAGCTGAAGAACTTAAAAAATTCAAGAGGAAGACATGAGAGGTGGCCAGAACAGCATTAACAAAACAGACTCTCCCTTTCCCTTCCCTGATCATCTTTCATTCCACTACATCCTTCTTCTCAGCTCTTGGCTCCCCTTTCTCTCCTTCTCCCTCCTCCTAGCCATTGTGGAGAATGGCAGCTTCAAAAACTATTAGCTCAGCCTTGCAGCAGAGCAGGACAGCCTGATACAATGACCAGACTAGTGAGTAAATTTAGGAAAAAAATTAACACAGTAAACTGTGAATCAAGAATTTTCTGAAAAATAGAATATTTTCACAATTCATTGTATAAATATTTTTCTCTTCTTAAGGAAGGGACACTTGCAAATACTTTTGACAAGAAGTGTTTTTTTTGGCTTGTGAAAGTGCTGTCATATGTCCTACTCTTTAATATTTACATTATGTACCTGGGGCAACTTTCCTGAACGGTCTGTTGAAATGTGATGTCTTATAATCAAACAGTGAGGAATATGTGATAATTTTTCTGGTGGTAGGGTGGTTAAAAAAGAAAAACAAACATACGCATGTAATATTCAAAATTTTGTTTGTTTATTTGATTATTTTGTTTGTTTGTTTTTACACATCCAGTTCAAAAGAGCAAGAGTTTTGATGTAGCAAGTAAGCGAATAGAAAGGCATTTCCACAGTCCATCCAGTTTGAAAGAAACACTTTCCAGATTCAGTGGAACACATTCTGGCAGGTAAGAGGAATTACTGGCAGTGGATAAATGTTCCTGGAGGCATTTCTAGTGAGGTTGTTGACTTAAGTTGAGAATGTATCATCTTAGTCCTTTCGTTTTGTTCTTGTTTGTTACAGGAGTACAAACAGGCTCTGCTGTGCCTTGCACTGCACTAGCATGAAACATGCTCTTTCTGTCCCTGGAGGTTACAATCCAGGTGGTAGACTTATGTAAAAAGCAAGGAAAATAATAGGGGTAAAGAAGGAGAGAATTTTTTTTTTTTTCCCCAGCTTAAAAAAGAATGTGGTATTGGGCTGCCCAACACAGTGAGTATTAGTGTCAGAGCTGAGAAGTTAATGCAGATCTCCCATACTGGGAGCCAGGCTCATTCTGCTAACCAAAAAGTTTTGTTCCTGTTGGGTTGTTCTCAGGTACTGGAAACAGCTGTGCTGGCCAAGTGCTTTCCAGGAATACAAGGGCTGTATTAATTCTAATATTACTTTTTATTTTATTCCTAAGGTCATTAGAAAAATGAGAAATATTGTGATGTTGTTAAGGTCAATGGGTCACACTTGTAAGCACATGGAACAACATCGGGCCTTTGAATGTTTTGGAATCTGTAAATGTCCAGTGACCATACTCTGGGCATGTGCAGTTCTGACTCAAGTCTTTTTACCTGGTGAGATTAAGTTTGTCATCAAGTTTATAATTAAGTTGATGTTTGTGTTTTAGAAAAAATATAAGTGTCAGTCTGGACCACCTGATTTCCAGCCTAACCGTGATTTGGCAAAATCCATCTGTGCTGGCATGGGTTCATCAAAGGTGTTTTGGGTGTTTTGCTCTAGGCTCCAAAATCACTTTTCAGTTGTCACAAGCTTTACAAGCTTAATGTTACCAGACTAGTTCATCTGCTCTTCATTATCTGGGAAGTCTTCCATGTTTTCTCCTTTTCTTCTGAAAGAACACACAGCTTGCATGTATCAGTTTCAGAAGGAGTAGCTTCTCTGATAATTATTATAATGCAGTCTCAAGGTATATCCCCCTACACCTAAACTATTTTGGATGTGTTCCAGAATCTGCTGTTATGAGAAAACAAGGATATTTTCTGTTTTAATTTCATAGATGTTCATTACTTGCAGACACAGAGGACAGCACTGTTAAAGTTGCCTTCACTTCTTCAACACAGTTTTGCAAAGCTTTAGCTCTGACAGAACTTTCCATTACCCCATTCTTTCACTCAAGCTATTTTATAAGCTTTTTATTTTCATTTATTTATTTATTTATTTATTTATTTATTCCTGGGACTTTGTGGTGTTCAGAGATTGATTTTTGGATAAAATATATTCAGCTGATACCTGTACTCTTCTGACTCAGTTCTGTGTGATGAGAACTCCTATGCCTTGTAAAAGCTGTTGTCAGCTCTTCTATCACATACCATTTCCTGTAACGGGTTCCTGCAATAGCTAACTGACAGCAGCTTTCTGTCTGTATGGACTTTCTGAAGCCATCAGGGATGACAAGTGAAGCAAACGTAAATTGATTGGAAGTAAGAAAACCAAAGCACAGCCATGGAGCTACAAGAAGTCAGAACAGGCAAGCATCTAACTAAAGTTCTAATGGCAGAGCAGTGCTGTGCAAGGTGAACATTATTATCTTCTGAATGAGATGTACAACCAGATACAAGCTATTTATCGCTGTAAAGGTCAGACAGGACCTTATGCAAGAGTGAGGATTAAGGTCTCAGAATACCAGCCAAGTTCAACTCTGTTAGTTAAATTTTGCCTATCTAAATTTTACAGCAGTTTAATTTGGAAGGCTTCATTTCCCCTTTCACAAACACAGCTGTATAGCACTGCTGGTGCAGAATGTCTCCTACTTTCCACCCTAGAGGTTGTTCCTGCACTGCTTGTATGAACATATAGGAATATACATGTTCCTGCACTGACCCATGAACATATAGCATATGAAGTACTTAAAGCGTACTCATATTTATTTGGTATAAGTGCATTATGGACATTGTGTATGCACATGTCTATGCACATTCTTCTAAATATTTATTTGTCAACAGGATCATCTATACATATCACTCATGTATAGGCACATAGAATATATCTTCACTGGGACAGAATATGCTTTCAGCCAGAAAACAGTTTAAAAATGTGTATATAAAGCATGCAAGAATATTTACAAACAGAATTTTAACACAAAAACTAGCAAGAAATGCCCAAACTATATTTACAGTCTTTTCTCTTTAACTATTAGATGTTATTGTCAGGAATAGGAGGGCATTAATCAGTGTTAAATCATGATAATAGGCAATATCACCACAGGGCATGAGCATTAAATACATGAGGTACTAAACAATCCCCAAATTCTGCAGAGTGAGTTGAGGATTATAAATTGTAGGTAATTTGATTATTCTTTAGTGGATCTAACTGTGGTCTGGACAGAATGTATTTAAAGTGGCTCACGTAAGTGTTAATGATAATTGTGATTTACTTCAATATAGTAGTTTTCATCACAAAGGCTCCCACAGTGCTTTTCTTTTCACAGTAGTGTTGCTGCAACACAGCCATCCCTGAAGTAAATGACGAAAAACGAACAGCATAAAACACAGCAGTGGATGAATGGGAAATTTTGGCCCATGACACTGGGACAGGCTCATGGTCTTATGGAAAGCAGCATGGGAGTTTTAATTTTCACATGAGCACTGGGTTTTAAGGACACAGCTTAAAGACCCCTGCTCAATAAACTGTGTAGCAGTAAAACACAGCTACCACAGAAGGATGAAGAACTTGCTCTGTTCTGCCAATATTTGAACCTTATGGTTCCAGGATGTCTGTTCAGACCAGAGGTTTAGACCACTAAAATTATCCCCTCTGGCAGTAACTACACTGAACTTTAACAGACAGCTTAAGGGCTGAATAATTAAACAGTGACATGGCGGCCTTACTTTGTTTCATGCTAGAAAATCTCAGTTCAAGAAAAACATACTAATTTCAGCAGGCATTTTTATTCCAGGGGCTCATCAGTCTACAGGCAGTAGGTGTAAGAGAGAGAAAACACTTAAAAAATAAGACCTCAAAGAGCTTTTGGGAATGAATTAAGATTAAGTTTGTTAGCGTACTTAAACTGTGAAATTGGTTCATTCTTTTATTGTTTAGGTAGTATTTCAAGATGGTCTGTTATGATGTAGTTGATTTTTTTTTTTCAGGCAATCGTATCAAACAAAGGCATGTTTTTATGAAATTGTCCATAAAATATAGAAAAATATGGAAAAAAATCCCCAATCATTGTTTAGCACATGTTCATTTCTTCCATTTAATACTCTTGGCTTTGCTTTTCTTTACCGTACTTTCTTCTTCTTTTTATTTATTTATTTATTTTATTTTGCCACAGTCATTCAGTATTCTGGCATTAACCTATATTTTCTGGGTCAATTGTAACTTCCATGTACAAATTTGTGCCTGCTGATAGCTAGCTTTATTGCATCTCCTTTTAGACCTCATTTTAAAGAACAGGTGTTCTAAACATTGTTGATGGTAGCAATCTTCCCTCATTTAAGTGCCCTCAAAATGATGTTACTCATTTGAAAAAAAGATTATAAAATGATGTTCTATTAGTTATGTTGGAAAGTGTCTGAAGAAACTTTATCTGACTTTATACACTGCATAGACTTCTAGATCTTCATTTGTGCTACCAAATTGAAAAACATTCATAGTGACAATTGGCAAAAACAACAGAAATAATAATATGATAGACATGAGAATCAACAGTTTCAGATAGGTAAAGCAGAAATGGAACTAAACAGATCAGGTAACTTCTGAAAAGAGAGACATAATAGAAATGGAAAAATATGTGCAAGTAAATCATATCTTAAATGTTGTTTAACTGTAGGGCTGTAGGCTGTTGTCTAAGATATAATGAAACTATTTCAGATATATATTCTGTGATATAACAAAGCACAGAAGTTTTATTTTTATACAGATGATAGTATTTCGTAATGTATGGTTTAAGTAAGTAGTTCTTCCTTTAAATAATGTTTTCTTTCATTTAGGAATGAATTTCTGCACCTGCTACAAACTGGGACTTGGCTCTAGATTTCAACAACTGTTTAGTTATGAGCAAGGGACTGTAGAGGTGGAGTACTTTTCTACTTCAAATTTATTTGTAATAGTTTATTTATGAAATAATACCCGTGGTATATTACAGTAACTATTGGTTACTATTCTCAGGTCAATTGCTGTATAGGTTACATTTTTAGTCCAATGCATTTTGTTATGTTTAAATTGATAAAACTTGTAATTATTGTTTAATTACTTGTAATTATTGTTTGATTACCTGTGCTGGATGAAGCTGAATTCTGAACCTTATTCTTGCAGTGCTTTATTCTCCAATAAATACTAAAGAGCCAGGTTCATATATGATATGAGCAAAAGGAAAACCTAATGTGCTTAATCGCTCAGTAGTGACTGAGAAAACAGTCCATGATGGCAGTGGATCAGAAGACAAATCCTTATACCCTGAACCCTCCAGCAAAATGAATGGAGACTTCCTTTGTTGTTGCAAATGCTGGTGAGACCAGTAGATATGCATGGTTTTGAAGCAAAAGAATAGCACCCTTATTGCTATCTTTCCAAAAACCTGGCTATCGCCCCTACATTTTCACATGGTCTTTTAGTATTAAAAACGGCATTGCCCTGACACTCAATGGCTCTTACTTAGTATGAGCCACACTCTTGGGACCTGCAAAGTGAATACATATTCCATGTAAAATTGCCTAGCCTCCCTACCTCATGCTCTGCTGTCTTTTATCTCTTTGAAGCTGGTCTGTTCTGATTTTATATTCATTGCCCAGGACTTTGCCTATCACTGCCTCCAAGTCTGCATTCTAAACATATCAGTGACTTCATCTTTCCTCACATCCACTTTTCCTCATTCACAGTCTCTTTTGCAATCTACATCTTTTAATAGCTGATCCCATTTATCCCATTGCAACTCTCTCTGGGACTGATTCTGTGCAGTGGCTTTTTATTGTTCTCTTTCCTCAGAACCATAGAAATATGAGATGGAAAAGGCTGATGAGGTCATCTTGTCCATTCCCCTTGCCAATGTTGAATTGTTTCCTACAGTCTAATTTTAAAATTACTCATTCAGCTGGGCTTCCACCTCTTCTCTTAGAAGATTATTCCACAGTATTAGGATGTATATCACACCATTAGGAAGTTTTTCCTGATACTTATCTTGAACTTTCCTTCCTGAGTTTTTGTTCCATCATTCATAGCTACACCCCATTTGATCACTCCAAACAATACACTTCACTCTTGTAGAATAGACATCCTTCAAAATCCACCTATTACTCCATAAAAAAAAAAAAAAAAAAAAAAAAAAAAATCAGTTAGGTATCTTAGTTATCTCCCCCTCCACACACAATACTGTAGCATGATATATCTGATTATCTCTTTTCCCTTTTGCTGCACAAGGAAGGGACAGTCCCTCTCCATTCCAGCTCAGTGCCATGTACAGATGAGAACTCAAGTAATTTCTTCCCTGTCTGGTTATAGTCACTGTTTCTCTTATACTCTGGAGACAGGGAAGTTTCTCATATTTATGTGGGTGCAAGGAAGTCTTTGTGGCCCATAAGTCTCTTGCTGCATGTAGTCCTGCTTTTGGAAGATATATTTATCTGTGTAGCTCAAGCACAGCACAGGCTCCAGAAGTTGTTATAGTTGGAGTGGGATAAAGTCTTTCTGTTCTAATCCTCTTTCATAAAAATTCATGCTGCCATCAAAATTCTGACAATGTCAATTATTTCTACTTATACCTTCCACTCATCCAGACAAAATGTTGATGTCCTCTACCAAAAATGTACTTTTCAGAAAAGGCTGAATAGAGACATACATGCTGATTTGAATCAGAAACCCTTAGAATCATTTTGGAGATCTCCTCTAAACATGTCTTTTTTGATGTACTTGAGCCTCTTTCACTCTTTTCATACCCAATTTTCAAGTGCTTTGAACCAGCACATTTTAGATGTGATTTTCCTGAAGGATTTTGTACCTCTTTGGATATTTAAATGAGTGGCCACAGTAAAGTGATCTCAGCCACTTGGGTTGAAGTTATATAAAAGTACAGTCCATTATTCAGAGACCTAGAAAATGTTTTAAAGTTCTGGCTTCTGCAGTGGAAAAGGAGAACTTGGAAATTTGGCCATGAGCACCTTTGCCAATTTGTTCCCCCATTGTGTATGCTGAGTCCTTCTGTTCATGAACAGATTGTGCATGACAACCTGAGTTCACCTGCATGTCTGCATGTCAGCTTTTGTCAGCCTGGTACAGACTGAACCTAGCATGGCCTTGGAGAGGTCAATGCACATCGTGCCTACAGCTGTATAAAAAGGTGTCAGAAGAACTGAGGGCACATGTTGGCAAAAACAATCACCTGATGTTCACTAGAATTTGAGAACCTCTTGGGTTCTTCTAAGCAAATATTTTTGTGACAAGCTTTTCTTAACCAATTCCAAATCTGACAATTATCTTGGTAGGGTTGGCTCCACAGAGTCCTGTGGAGCATCAGTGATCTGGTCAGAATAGAAATAGATGGGCCATGAATAGTTTCTGTAGGAGGGAAATGAGAGGGATGATTTAGATGAGCTCACCACTTAAGAAGCATATGGGCAGGCTGGAAAGTACATATGCAGCATGGGCATGGCTCACTGAGACACAATTACAGCAGGATATAAGATGTGGCATGTGGAAGCATAGTTATACCAGAACTAAGAGGTAGTGGGGTTTCTCACCCTCCACAAAACGCTCAGCAGTTTGAAGTCACCACTCACTGCTCTGTTTGAGATTCATACATGTGGCCTTATGTGTAGTGCTCTGGCTCTGTTTTCTCAATCACTTACTCTGCAGCTTGTGGAAGGTTGTTTTTGGCAGCTCTTCTCTTGCCCCTTTCCCTGCACTCTCCCTCTGGCTGTATCTGTAATTGTTCTTGCTCTCTCAGAGCACCTGGGGAGAGTGTGGAGGAATCTGATCTCTGAGCTGTGTACCCAGGTTGCTTGCTATTCCTCTCTTTTCAAGTGCAATTATCCAAGCTCTGTGGTTTTTCTCTGCTTTGCTCTCTGTTAGTCAAGTAGCAGTGTGTTTATTCTGTGCAAAGGAAGAGCAAGGCGCCCCTTCAGGGCTCTGATTCCAGCCATACAGAAATGGCTGACATGATGTAGTCATGTAGTCACTCATTCACTCCTTACAAGCTTAGCTGCATAAGTTGATGATCTTATAGCAACACAGTAAGCTGCTATACTGGGAGACCTTGCCTTTTAAATAGTTGTTGCACTATATGTTATTCATTGTTATCTGTCCATTTTTTTTTTAAATATTATTATTAATTATTAGAGAACAATGAAACATTCTCCATTGGTGTAGGGGGACCATCGAGAATACTATTTCTGGAAAAATGATTTATGTATTAAATCCAAGTGCCTTTAGCTAATCCATGAGATGTAGAAATTTTAATGCAACGATAAGCTCTTTGTAAGATTGAGAAAATCTTGCCTTTCCCTGAAGAAAAATAAATAATATCCTAGCAACATTCACAACAAAATTTCTCCCCCCCACAAAAAATAAATAAAAAATCAAATGTTTTCCTCTCTCTCTTTATTTATTTATTTATTTATTTATGGACACTTGTCTTGGATGGCTTAATGTAGAGTGATAAATATTGTAAGAGATTCTGCAAATATTTCCAGAATTCATTGATGCTGTCTCTTAATGGCACTAATTTTGCTTCATGCTCTGTCTCAGCTTTCTGTTTCCAGCAAATCTGTCTTTTCTGATATTTTTATGTCTCTGTACATCAGTTAATTATATTTAGGCCAGTACCTCTTAAGTATTTATATTTTCTTTTTTCCTTTCTTCTTCCTTTTCTTCCATGCCCACCTCCCAGAAGAAAGCTTTTCCCTGTCTCTTTCTTTTTCCATCCAGTTTCAGAATTACTGACCAACACTGGAAGTATGTGTTACTGAGATGACAAGAGAAATGCAGTTAAAAATGTGCTCTTTCACATGTTTACTATGCACGTTTTGTCCTTCTAGCTTGACTGGAGTACCTTTTGGCTCCAGAAGAGGTAACTCAAAACGATAAAGTGGATTAAAGTAAATTAATGAAAAGAAGGTGAGCAATGAGGACCTAAAATTTTAATTTTATGGCTTCCATCACATTACTTAGAACAGATAACTCTTTTTCTTTTAATTTGTCTTTGAAATAGGTATTTCTTACCTACATTAAATAGGAAATAATTGTTAGGTGGTTAATCAGGAGTTAGTCACAAAGTGCTGCAGGTGCTGAGATTCGCTGGCTAGAACAAAAATGCTGGAAACTGGGTGTAGCACACTGGGACAACATTAGTAAGGCAGTTCTCAGTCATGAAGAAGGAGATGAACTTTAGTCCTGAGCAGACATCTGCTGAATGACCTACGGCTTATACATATGTATAAGGTCAGTTAAGGTTGGGAAGTACTCCATACTTTAATTTTGGCAATACTGCTCCACAGGTTCCCTGTATTTGCCCTTAGCGGTGGATGGAGCTCAGTTACTCTTGGAGAACTTTATTTCATATGGGATGATGATGAGGGCTTTTGCAGAAAGACATGAACTTGTGCTGGCTGTGCTTCTGAGTGCTGGGAAAGCCCATCAGTGCAACCTCAGCCTACCTCTATGTCTCCTGCCCAACTGCAGGACCTGCAGGTTCCATACCAATGAGATTTACAGGGTTTGGGTTGCCTTCAAACACAGGCAGAGGAAGAACTCACATCTGCTAAGAGCATTCTCGGAGGCTGACTGCAGAGACTTGCAGTGATGTTCAGGCTGATTCTGTGCAGCCACCCTCACTCCCATCCAGAATGTTTTTAAAGTGACTGTTTTTAAAATGCCTGCCAGTGTCTTTGCTTTTTGGATGACTGATTCAAAGCACTTGAAAAGGTCTGGGTTTTTGGAAAGGGATGAATATCTGTACTGAGGCTCACACCCTATCCTAGCTGTTTGAAGCTGGAAGGCATATAACGAGCCATCACTTCTGAGGAAAAGCCGTCCTGTTGGGGTGGGTCAAAGCTGCACAATTACATGTACTTCAGAAACAAAAACAAGGGAAGAAACAGTGTGTTGGGTTTGACCCAGGCATCCTAGTAATATCTCTTAAATGAACATGGCCTGCTCCACCCTCACCTCACACATGGACACATAAGCAGCTCCATGTCTCTTGTGCTCCCAGGAGCCTCCCTATAGAAAATACCCTTCATCCACAGAGCACAGGGGCTCTTCAACTGTGGATTATTGCTTCTGCAGATACAAACACTTTTCTTTCAAAATATATGCTGATTTAGTCCTCAGTGCCCACCTACTGAATTCCCAGGCTCTGGTTTCCCGGTTTCCTCACCGTCAGGGATTCCAGTAGTAATTTTTGTAACAGGCCCAAGGCCTGGCTCAAAAGCTGGGCTGTCTGTGCCAACGCAGTTGCAAAAATTTTTCACAGTAAAATATTTAATGGGTCTGAGTATAGATGTGAACCCTTATGGGGTGCCATTCTGGAACATATTTTCCATATTTTCATTCATATTTTTCTTCCTCATGTTTCTTTTGCATTTATAATGTTTAGAATAAAGTTACATTTAATTATATTTATTTCCTGAATCCCTGAGTCTCTGCAGAATAAGCTTTTCTAAGATTGATGCAAGATACTGGAGTAAAGATTAAGTACCATTTTTAAAGATGCATGAACTATCTGGCTGGTTGCCAGTCACCAAGATAATGAAGTTGCTACAACCTCTGACAAAATCAGTGTTTTAGGAAGGAACTGGGGACACGGTAGCACATGTGGAGAGTAGATTTTTAGGAATATAGAGGAGAAGTGGAGGGAGTGTTGGAATTATTTGAGTGGTTGTTTTGGGGAATTGAGGGTATGGTAGCAAGGGAAACCATGGAGGATATGAGAATGGAGGTAAGGTTATCACAACAGGCGATATAGGACAAAAGCCCACAGGAAACAAGGTTTCATTAGCTCTGCTGCTTGCAGAACAAGTTGTTTTAATTAAGCTTCCCTTCCATTTCTAAAGGGAAAATGGAGAAAGAATTAAAAAAGGAAAGGGAAAAACCTGAAAAAATAAAATAAAATGAAAAAAAAACAACAAACAAAGCACACAAAACAACGCTTTCAAATATATGTATATATACTATTATTATTCTTTTCTCAGCTACTACACCACTCCCTTTCACCCTAAGAACATCGTTAATTACATAAATATTCTTTTTCTATTAAAAAAAAAAGTAAATTTAATCTATGTGACCTGATGACCTGATTGTGGCTCCTTATTTATTTATTTATTTATTTGTTTGTTTATTATTGTATATATATATATATATATAGTTAGGCAATTTTTATAGAGGTGTCTGCAGTAGAAACTAATAGTCATTTCTGATAAACAAGAAGTCTAGAGGTAAACCCTTCTGCTTTTTCAGCTCTATGATGATTTTTCTGTTTACCTCAGTGGGGCCAGGATTTCAGTCTATGTTTGTCAGAAAATGTATCTTTTGTGGTACACTTACAAATTTTAGCTCATAGCATTACATGGTGACAAAGCTCTTCCACTCTGCATTTGTTTTCCCATAGAGTGTGCTATGGAGAGGTGGACAAGTGTTTAGTCACGTCTGGGTCACTGAAAAGGCTGAAGGGTCTGACCCACTGCGAAATACGTGAGCCATGTTTGAACACTTTGCTATGCCCACTAAGTCAGAGATGTCCTCTGAGGATGGCTGTGACAGCACCTGGCCAGGCCCCTTGGAAGCCGGGCAGGTGACAATCACCAGCCTGGAGACAAGAAACCTTTAAGGAGCCAAACTTTTACCCTGTCTTTCAAAGTTTCTTTGCCTTCTATTTAAATTGCCTTGCAAAGAAAAGGATTTTCTGGTCTTGCATGACCTCAGCTGCTCTACTTGTTCTTGTGATGTCCCTGACTCTGACAGACTGCACAGCCCCATGGCTGGGCTGAGAGGGTCCACGCTCTGACCCCTTTGGGGAGGACAGTTATTTCCTTGTTTTTAAAGTGGGTATACAAACAACTCACTCTCAGTGGTAGGCAGGTGGTTAGACATGATTAATACATGTCCATGACTTGGAGTTACTTGGGTCATAGACACAGCTAAGAGAAAAGTGGTAAGCAGAAAACTACAAAATCTGTTTTTGTCTTTCAAGCAACATTCATCTTGTTCAAGAATAATAGAGAAAAAAGCAAGCCAACAAGCATGTAATCAAGTGAAAGAAAGCAAAGAAGCAAACAAGTAATCAAGAAAGAAAGAAGGAAAGGAGGAATGAAAAGTGAAAGAAGGAAAAAAATAAGGAAATAAAAGGTTTTGTGTTGTAAGGAGCAACAAAACCTATAAAATATATAATAAACCCACATGGAAAAAGAATATAGTTGATTTCCTGCATCTCTCTGAGTTATGTTTCAGTAAATGTACAGCACACATACTGTGTTTAAAGCAGATTTGACAACATATAAAACATTAAAAATATTATGACATTGGCCAATATTTATGATGTATATTTCCACACATAAAATATATTGTGTCGTGTCATTGATTTTAAAAAGCATGGAAATTGGCCATGTCATAATATTTTAGAGGTTTTTATACATTGTCAGAGCTATTTTAAATATATGTGCTCAGCATTTTATGAAACTTCCAACACATGGACATACGGAAAATATATTCTGAATCCATAGGAGACCAGCATTTCAAATGTAAAGTTTAGCTTATGTACATTTGCTAACACAAGAAACCTTTTCTTTTTTGTATATTTCTTGAGCTGCAACATATTCTCCTTGTATTTTGCAGATTTACATCAATGGTGCCTAACCTATAATAAATGAGAGTTGCTTTTGACTTCAGTTTTAAAGTAGGCAAAATTCTTACTGAACTTTTGCGGAATGGGACCATCAGACAACACAAACAGCTAGAGAGAACCTCACAAAAAGAAATGAAATTCAGTGGCAAAAAACACCCAGTATTACAAATTATTTGCACTTCAAGATGGAATCTTTGAATGCTAGACTTCAGAGAAGACTATTAGCACAACTCAGAGACATTTGGAAAATCCCTGCTGGAAGAGGGTGAGGACAACGTGGGCTAAAATGGGTTGGGTATTTTATCTAGGTGAAAACTGAAGGACTAAAGGAGCTGAAAGGTTGAAGTATTTATCAGGATCAGAGAGAAACATTGACAATTTCTGGAAGTGAGAACTTGATTCCTAGTTTTATGATTTAGCAACATGACCATCCTTGCTTTTCCAAATTTCTTGGGAAATGATGGCAACAGTTCTGCCAGCATATTATTTCTAAGCTCATTTAGTTTGCTTGCACTTATTGCCACCTGTCTACCTATGGGGTCATCACGCAAATGGTACTGGGGATTCCTTTGTTGTTGTTGTTTTTTTGTTTATTTTCTTACTTCATACTTAGAAGAAAGTAACCGTAGACAGGTAATTGCTTCCAAGTATGTGACATAACCTGCCTCTCAAGGTCTTTAGAGGAAACTGAGAAGCATCAGATGTGCTACT